AGGACCTGCAAGGAGGAGAGGAGGATGGCAGCAAAAAGGAAGAACCTGGATATAAGAAAGTGTTTTTCAAAGAAACCTGTAAGTCACTTAAAGCCAAGTTCACTCATAAAATCTGTCCATCATAATAACGTTACAGGCTATGCAAGGCAATATTATTACTCTTTCTGGGTTGCAAAATAAACTTTAAAAAAATTTTCAGGCGAGAATGTAGCTGTGCAAACTTCAAATATCTGAACCTGGGAGAACAGCAAACTCCCAGCACATCGTTTTAGGCTTTGGCCCACATCAGTCTAAAATTGTATGTAACCATGAATAACGTGTTACCATGTCCACCAGGAGAGACTGGACAGATGTAAAACAAATATGCCAGCAGTTTATCTCAGTTAATAAGAGGAGAAGGCATGTGTTTGGCTCCTTCACATAGTGGACATTTGTCATGATCCTGGGCCATGTTGGCCCAGCAGTCTTAGTATTCATGTCTTTTTGTATTTTGTTCCTTATTTGATTTCCCCTTGTGACTTTTATCCCCTGTGTGCCCCTCTATGTATCTGTGGGCCCTCGTCTCCCCTCGTGTTTCATTCCATGTTTCCCCAGCCCACTATGCCCGTGCTCTCTCTCCTCCTGTCTGCACCTCTGTGTACTTCCTGTTTTACTTTGACAGTCTCTCGTCAGTATGCCTCATGTTGTGTTCACTCCTGCCCTGTCCCGTTACGATTATCTGTGTCAGCTGTGTTCCCCGTGTGCTCCGACTTCCCTCGTTAACCCTCTGTGTATTTATGTGCATGTCTCCCTCAGTTCAGTGTCGTGTCGTCAATGTCTCCTCCCCGAACCTGTGTGTCTTTCTGTGTTCCCTCGGTCTTCTGTTAGCATTCCCAGTTTAGTTTTGTTTCTTTGTGAAGCCTGCAATGAAGCAGTGATTTTGAGTTCAGTTCCTGTCTCCGTGAGTTTTGCGTTTGGGTCCTCATCTGCCTCCACACAGCCAGTTCATGACAGACATTGAGTTGTTGTGTGGGACACCAGTAGTCCATGTCTGTTGCTGTAACAGTAGTTCATGTTTAGAGTAAAACATCCAGCTCACTGACTTGATCGGGGCAATAGTGTGCCTAAAATGTTGCATAATTTTGCTAAGAGATCTGTTACTTTGTGGTAAGCTTAGATGAGTAGTTTTATTGACAAAAACCACCAGGTCATTCAGTGTTCCCTTAGTG